AATGCAGGATATCTTGGCCGTAAGCTAACAATTGACATCTGACCTTTAGTCTCGATCCCCTGAGGCACAACTATCATCGGGAGTCCCTATTGAAGAATATCGTATAGTACTTAATTAATATACTTAGTAATGAAAGTTTAGCAAAAAAAATATATATGCAAAATATGCACTGAGGACAAATAGTAAATATCTTACCATCATTCCTAGATAGATGTGACCGTAGTTCAATACCATCACTATTGGTCGCATGTTTTGTGTACTAACATTTCTAAGTGCAGGAAAAAAATTTGTCTTGACAGTATGAAGATCCTCAAGCCATGAAACATAATGACTTATCTCCTCACAGTTTAGTTCAGCTCCGGGACAGTAGAAGGTTCTGTCTACTAAGCGCCGGACATGTTTGGTTGAATTGAGATAAGCTGTCAATAGAAATTAGTTGTCAGTTATTTTTGAAATAAGCAATATCAAAGACAAAAATATATTTGAGAAGAACTCACATAATGGTAGAACTAGAGGCGTCTGCACATCGACCCATATGTCTCTATTACCTTCAATATCATCTTCCGGACGAATATCAAAGGTGATAACTATACCAGGCTCAAATGCATAAGCCTTGCGTAGTGCTTGCCAAGTTTTGCATTCAAAATAGATGTACGCGTGTGCATTGTATACTTTGACGTTGAAAGTATAACCATCATGCTCAATTTTTAGGTAAGCTCTCTTTACCTCCATAGTTTCCATATCTTTGAAACATATCTTATCCAAGACAAAAATTCTTGCATGGCAGGAGATGCGCTAGTAGAATAGTGAAAATTAAAAATTATAAGTCAGGCAAATGAAGCATATATAAGTCATGCTTAATTACGAAAACAGACTTGTCGTTGTGACTTACTGTATCGAATTCGAAAGTCTCATCCAACTTGATGCTAAATCGCCTACCATCAACAAGGAAATTTCTGTCGCACTGGTCGCGCTGGTCTTCGCAGTATTGGCACATACCGAAATTTTTTCCGTCGTCAGACGACATTTCCTATGTTCATATTAGGCGAAACATTAAACACTTACTAATTCAATTAATTCAACTACTTCTATTAATTCAACTAAGCATTTACTAAAAATAAACTAGTTCTATATATTAATTCAACTAGCTAGTTCAACTAAGCATTATATTTACTAAAAATAAACTAGTTAATTATTATATTAATTCAACTAGTTGAACTTAGCATTTACTAAAAATAAACTAGTTCTATATATTAATTCAACTAGTTTAAAGTAAGCATTTACTAAAAATAAACTAGTTCTATATATTAATTCAACTAGTTCAACTAAGCATTTACTAAAAATAAACTAGTTCTATATATTAATTCAACAAGTTCAACTAAGCATTACTAAAAATAAACTAGTTATATATATTAATTCAACTAGTTCAACTAAGCATTATATTTTTGATAACTAAAACAATAATAATCTAAATAATCTAAACTAATTCATACATGTGTGTGTGTGTGTGTTCATCATGCTCTTGTGTGTGTGTGTGTGTGTGCTCGGGGAGGGGCGGCGCCCATGGTGGCCGCTGGGGGCGAGGGAGAGGGGTTAGAGGAGGAGAGCTCACAGCGGGGCGACGGCGGCGGCGACGGGGACGGGGGCGGTCCCGGGGCAGCGATGAAGACGACGGCGACGGGGACGGGGGCGGCGACGGGGACGGGGGCGGCGACGGAGACGATCGAGGGCGGCGGCGACGGCGACGGAGACGGAAATAGAGAACAAACAGAGAGGGAAAACGAAATTTTCGAACGTGTTGTATATATAGACCCCCCTTTAGTACCGGTTGGAGCCACCAACCGGTACTAAAGGCCTGTTTTGGCCAGGCCAAGCGGCGGGAGGCGACCCCCTTTAGTACCGGGTGGTGGAACAAACCGATACTAAAGGCCCCCCTTTAGTGTCGGTTTGTTCCACGACCCGGTACTAAAGGCCACGCGCTGCCACCCCAAAATTTAGTCCCACCTCGCCGGGCGAAGGGCAGCCGCACTGGTTTATAAACTCAGCCGCGGCTACCACTTCGAACTCCTCTATATAGCAGGCTGGTGGGCCTAAACTCTGTGCGCTGCCCTGTGAGTCTGCTGGGCCTTTAAGGCCTGTAATTTCATCTGTGGCCTATCAGGCCCACAGGGCAGCGCCCCAATTTTTTTTATAGTTTTTTTCCTTTCTGCTTTATTTTCTTCTATTTATTTTTGCGTAGTTTTTTGTATAGTTTTTTCTTTTTTGTTATATTTATTTTCTTCTATTTATTTATGAGTAGTTTTTCATCTAGTTTGCCAAAAATCAACATTTTCAAAGTTCATTTTGTAGTGATTTTCAATTTCACGGTCATTTTGTAAACGATTGAAAAATAGCAAATATAATTCTTTTTCTTTTCTGCTTTATTTTTTCTTTTCTGCAAAACTTGATGGTCAAAGTCTGGAGTTATAACTTAAAAAAAAATGTCGACGTGCAATTAGTTTTTGCCATAACAGAAGAAGTCCGGAGTTGTAATAAGTTATTAAAAATAAAAAAGAGGTGCAATGCTCGTTAATTTGCTTCAAGCCTTTCGGAATAGTGTAAACTGCACTGCGCATAGCTCCGTGCAGTCTACCGTATTCCTGAAGGCTTGAAGCTAAGCAACGTGAGCATTGAGCCTCTTCTTCATCGTCTCTGCACTCAGGGCTTATAAACCGCTCCTAGTCCCTCTCACTTCGCGAGGTGGGACTAAAAAACAGCTTACGTCTGGTTCATTCATGAATCGGTACTAAAGGTGCTCGTGGGGCCCCAGCCTTACCTGACACAAGCTCATTAGTACCGGTTCGTGGTACGAACCGGCACTAAATGGTGATGGTGGGGCCATAGCCTGACCGGAGGCTGACACAGCCTCTTTAGGTACAAACTTTCTGTTAGTGCCCATAGTTTTCAAATTTGAATAGTTTAAATTTTAAATTATTTGAAATTAGTGTGAATCACTAGTTTGTGAATAACTTAACTTTAAAAATCAGTAAAGGCATGAAAGAATTTGTTGCACATAAAATTTCTTCGCGTTTCAAATGTCAAAACACATAACTACCCTAACTATTACAGAGATTCCCCTCTGGGTGTGAAACACAGAAGAAAGTGATGATAGTGAAGCCGATCACATCCCAGATCTTTGGGTGTGAAACTTTTTCTTCGCGTGTGTCCCTTTGCGCCGTAACCATGTATAACAAACAATGTACGAGTAAGATAATTATTATACGAGTAACTATATATTCAAATCACACAAACATCGATTTTTTATATAAAATTTCATGAACAAGAGGCTCACCACAAGGTGGTGCCGGCGACGGGACGGTGCGGGCGATCGACGGTGGTTACGACGGAGATTTAGAAGGCACTAAGTAAAGCACACCTACATATACAAACTAAGTGTTATTTTGATCTCAAATTGCATATAAATCAAATACTAGCACACACACACATATATATATATATATATATATATATATATATATATATATATATATATTTCCTTCCAAATTACTAAACTCATAAATTAATAACTATATAAAGCATTGCAAGAGCTAATCTAGCAATGAGAGATGAAAGGACAAAGTTGCTAACCTTTGTGATCACTTAAGCTTGAATGGATGGGAGCCTTCAAATCTTGACAAATTTTGGGCAAAATGTGTGATGAGCTCGAGGGGAGAAGAGGAAGAACAGAGAGGAGAGGAGAGGGGAAAGGGGGAAGAACAGAGCGAGCTGGACTAAGGGTTTATATGTAGGAGGACCTATAGTACCGGTTCGTGGCACGAACCGGTACTAAAGGTGCTGGAGGGGGCCCAGACTGACAACATCCTGCCACCACCCTCATTAGTACCGGTTCGTGGCACGAACCGGTGTTAAAGGTTAGCCACGAACCGGTACTAATGAGAGCGGCCCGGCTAGCCGTTGGAACCGGCACTAATGTATACATTTGTGCCGGCTCTAATACAAACCAGCACTAATGTGCTTCACGTTTGACCCTTTTTCTACTAGTGAGTGCTGCATCTCAGCTTCCATCCTCGTCGCCAAGGGCCGCGTCACAACACTCGTCACCGCCGATCGAGCTTCGCCGGGGGGCCGCCGGTGTTGCAATGGAGCTTTTGCCGGGGGCACCTGTGCTGCAATGGAGCTTCGCCGGTGGCCTCCGGGGTTGCGTTGGAGCACTGCATCTGCATGCCGGTGTCGCGGCTGCAATGAAGCATGGCCGGAGCTGCGTTGGAGGAGCAGCGCATGCCGGTGTTGGCGCTGCAATGGCGCATGGCCGAAGCTGTGACGGGCCGTAGGCGCTACATTGGAGCATCGTCGCGCCCGTGTTGGCGCTGCAGTGGCCCATCGCCACACTGCCGTGCGCCCAAATCCGCCGACGAGGGAGCGCGGCTCCTGCTTGCGAAGCAGGGCTGCGAGGGAAGGAACGGACAGCAACCCATGTTGTTTCTTGACTTGCGAATCCAGCGGCAGCCAGGGAAGGAACGGACGGCTGTGCAGAAATCATCCGGCTGATCCATAGCAGCGCCCTGCTTATTGCTTTCACTTTTCTTCTTCACGATACAATGATCTCGTACACACACGACCCAGCCCTATTGCTAACCTTGACCAAACCTATTCGCAAAAAAAAAAGAAACCTTGACCAACCTATTCGGACTGAATATGAAACCACATGACACGACCAGACATAGACGTGGGGAAGTACTACTGCTAACCGAAGCCTACCTAATCTAACATGGTCCAAACCGGACTAAACTTGTTTTCTACAGTAATCTATAATCACACGGCAACATTGATCCCTTACCAAACTAGACTCAAACACGTAGACCGTTACCCTGTAAAAAAAAAGAAACTCAAACACGTAGTTTGACTATTTCCAACATCCTGCGCCGCCGCATCTCCTCTAGAGTTTAGACTGTCCGTCAACAACCGCCGCAATCTGCGGTGATCCTTCTTCACGAGGGCGGATGACGATTCTCTGCGAAGCCTGCGATATTGGTCAACCTGACGCAAGAACTGAGCACGCAACATATCTCCCTTTGCTTGCGCCCACCGATGAGGACGATGATGCTAGCAACAAGCAGGCAGCCACTATTGATGGCAAAGAGCAGTCGACGTGCCACGCGGCCGCCCGCGACGCCGAGGACGACGACATCAAGCAGCCGTCGCCGCCGCCGCCTCCTGAGAAAACCTACAGGGAAGGTGACGTGGTCGACTTTTTCAAAGCCCTACGTTTTTGCCGACCCGGGCCCTCGGTGGAGCTACTGGCCGTGTACCCATACTTCCCCTTCGTCGGCGACATCATTGTCGCCGACGAGAACGGCGGCCAATACGTCTACCACCAGGAAGAAGGCGAACCTCTCCACAACCTCGACCCCGAGGACAATCTGGTGCTCACGGGGCCATTCCAGACCATCTCGGGATTCGGCAGCGGCGTCATGAGAATCAAGATCCCCGACAGAGATAGGCCTGGCATTTACGACACCGCCGATCTATGGTTTGGCCCAAGTAACACGGAGGACGACGAGCACGAAGACCGCCTCATCACGACACGTTATGGCCGCCACCTCGTCGTGTCATATGTCACGATGAGGGAAGGCCTGGAGGTCAATGTTCGGGTCAGCATCCGCCTCTTTGGTGGCGGCGATGATGCATCTCACACCATGGACGTGTACGGTCAGATCACCGCGCATAACCGGATCTTCGAGGACGACAGTTTGCTCCTCTTCTACTATGCGGAGGAGGAGAAGGTGCAGCTCACCCCTTCCGCTGGCGGCGATGGCAGTGTGCACCTGCGGCAGATGCAGCGGTACAATGTTACGGTGCCCATCAATCCACAGCCATTTCTTACGATTAAGGTGAACTTGAAGGTGACAAGTCCGAGCAACGAGAGCGCTACCATCGCCTTCAAGGGCGATGTCGAGTTCCCTCTTGACATGGCCCAACGTGTTCGGGCAATCCGCACGGAGCACGGCGAGGTTCAAGTCCGTATCTCGTACAATTGAAACATGGAGAAGTGGAAGTATGAACCAAACAAGTATTTTGTGTGAGATGTCTCTTCGGGTTATACTACTACGAATAAGAGTACAAAAATTGTCTTCCTTCGCGAGTTGTGCTTTGTTTACCATTCTTTCTTTATGGCTGTTGTTAACCGGTGGAAGCTTTTCTAGTATGTTAAAGTTGTTATCGCAATATGGAATTTTCTAATATAGCTGATTTGTTTGCCAAGAAAGAGAAAAGATCATGTGTTCCCCCTCCTCCTTAGTTCTAGAGAAATCCTATGATCGAAGGAGCCTCTCATGCGCTTCATTCTCTCTGTTTGTAATGCTGAATTTTCCAAGTCTTCCAATTATTATTGGTCCAACTCTGCATTTGAGGAATCGTTCGTTTTGGAGAACAACCAACTATGCATTCAGCTAGAATACCAATCCTTTGTTCATCATCATACACCTGTCTTGAGACATTTATTAGATGCGGTTAATACACCAAATTTTCAGCTGCCCAAATATTGCATTGTTTTGCTTGATGAGTTTCAAATAAAATAAGACCAAATCTTATAGATACCGATGGCTTGCAAGTACACAGGATTTAGTTGTAGCCATTTATAAATAAAAGTACGGATCCCACAAGGAGCAAAGGAATTGGACTATTGTCCCTTGTAGAGACTTACAAAAATGTGCCTGCAAGTAAATTGTGTAAACTCAAAGCAAAGTGAGGGCGGAAGTATAATGATTTTTAGTAGAGTGCAGATTAAAAGTAAATGACACAAAAGAATATAAATGAGCGCAGTGGAACAAGTAAAGCGTCGAAATTAGCAGAGGATTAAAGCATTCGGTAGTCCGGAATTCCCATTGGTATGTGTCTATCGCAACATATGTTGTAGCATAGTCGTAGATGGACATTTGAGTCACACTGATGTTTGTGATTGGACAGATCTGAGTATAGAGTACTAAGAATACTAGGCCCGTAAGAGATTCATTTCTCTGGTTTTTTTGGATTTTTTTACGGCCTCTAGAAAATTACACTTGTTGCTAGGGGACCTGCAGAGGTAGAATTTGCACGTGAAGGTTGTGGTCTTGTCCGTTTTTTCTAGACCATTCTGACGTGGTAGTAAAAAAAGAAAAGCGATGGTGGACACGTATCTTGAGAAACTGCCCACGCATCATCAACGAAATCAAACGCTGACCATGCTATTTCTCCGCTGCCCACCGCGTGTCCAGTTCTCTAGAGTTTTCTCGCTTCCCCCCACCGCCCGCAGCTAGCCCACCAGCCCACCAGCCCACCGCATATTGCGCTATAAAAGGACATGCTTACTTGCCTGGGTCTTCGCTTCGCCTTTCTAGGTCATCCCTCCGCCACTGCGCCTGTCTTCCAAAATCTGGCGGCGCACACAACCAATTCGCCGCCGGCCTATGACTCCACGCACCACTGCCAGGCCCCCACCTCTCCACCCGCATGGCCGATCTGTGAACAGAGCAAGCATCAATGAAGTAGGTTCCTCCTAATCTTTTCACTCCCCTCTCTCCTTTGGATCAAGCTCCCTCCACCTGGAGGAAGGGCTGAAGCCGGGTCGATTCCGTCGTGCGTCAGAGCTTAGAGGCATCACCGCCGGGGCGCGTCACCGGGCCACGCGCCGAGAGAGCAGCACGGTTACTGGCTGCACGTTGGAGCCTTGGAGGTTGCTGGCTCGCAGCAGGCTGGGGCTGCTGGACATGGAGATCAGATGGAGCATAAGTCAGCGAGTACTTCAATCTCAAGTTCGAGCTCCCCGTCCAGCCCCATGTCTTCGTCTTCACATGAATCAGTGAGTACCACCCAGCAATATCTTTGGTTCTCCTTTTCCTATTTCTTAGTTTTGCCTTCTACTTGGTGCTTATTTTCGTATACATCACTTCTAGAGCAGAGATATGACAACTTCTGCACTGGAAAATGCTGTAATTTCAGCCAAAAGCCCAAAATTGAGGAATCGTGTTCATGCAGAAAAAACTACTGTACTTCTTTTTGGTGTGTTCATTATCTTAAAAGCCTTTCTCGCAATCGTTTCAAGTTAGAATGTAAATGTAGCCGCAGCTAATTTGTGTGCATATGTTACACAAATAGCTTATATATAATCAGGTTTCTGGTAGGGACAGATGATAATTTCTACTAGATTACTAATAGTAATCGCTTCCTTGCAGGTCTTCTACTATATTTAGAGGTGGATGCAAATTTTTGCACAATCTTCGGCTTTCTTGATGTTGCACTGATTATGTAATCTGCGTATGGGTTGATAATGAGGTAGCTTCCATGGTGAATTTTTTTAAATACTAGAACAATATTGAATTATTTTTGTAGATTCACAAGTAGAACTTCTTCTCTATTGGGAATTAATTTATCCAAGGAGGATCAATACCATCTTGTTTTTGTTTCAGTTATAAAGCTCGGGTTGTCTAAAGTGTGAATGTACAGTTCACTATTATACTTCAACATGATCAGGTGTTGTTCTTTCCCCTCTCGCACTTATGAGATCATTACTTTGTACCCCCCTCTTAAAGAAATACTCCCTCCGTCCGGAAATACTCGTCGGAGAAATGCATAAAAATGGATGTATCTAGAACTAAAATACGTCTAGATACATCCATTCCTCCGACAAGTATTTCGGGACGGAGGGAGTATAAGAGTGTTTAGATCACTGTAATTACTATTCTTATTCCATCATATTCCGTATCAAGCCGATATCTCTTGTACAATAGTCGTTTTCGCAACTAAATATTTTATGGTATGTTTTTTTTCCATCAAGTTGATATCCCATTATGATATGTTTTTTGCTTTGCACATGCAGGATGCCTTTAATCAAAAGGATTGGTTTAGTCAACCCATAAGATTGATTCATTACCTTGGAGTTCCAGAGGGATTTTGTGTAGCATGTTCTTCAGGTACTACATGTTTATCTTGCTAAGAATGATTCAAGTATGGGTTTTCTAGACTACTTGTTGTATATCAGTGAATGATAAAGTTATTTTTGAAAATTTATCTCTCTTTTGGCTTATTTGTATATTTGAATGTTTGAAAAAATAAAGTTAGTTTGTCAGATCCTTCTTTGTGTGGGTTTTGTAGGTTACTTGATGGTAGGAAAATGTTTGTGACTCCAAATTTAATAGGTTAAGAGGATAGTATCTTAATCATTTAGACTTTTGCTGCCTACGTAAGGGAAACATGAGTGTGTGGTTATGAGATTCATGCTAATAAATCATTATCAGAGATCTCTCATTTGCTTATCAACTGTTATCTTTTTATATATCTTATAATTGTCACACTACTTGGTTCCTTTCATTCCATCCTAATTTTAGAGATCTATCACTTGCTTTCACAATGTCACTGTCTTTTTAGACATCTCTTAATTTTTGGCCACTTCTTAGTTAATTCCTTTCCAAGTTAATATATGAGGTAGTTTTATGGGCTGCAGAGTATCTTGATTCTACTATTTCCCCCAGTTAACAGAAATAAGATAAATTGTACAATTTTTTGACTGAACTATGAGTTTTTGTGATAGCTGTGGCCAGTTCTATAAAGTATGAGCAAAGAGGAAAGAGTGTTCATTTGAGTGTCGATGAAGTGAAAGTTGTCAGTTTAAGTTGGTTCCGAGGATTCAACCTGTTCTATTCTACTACAGTATGGGTTGTAGTGACATATGTGCATAATATATAGTACATATTCTTCTTGATTTTTATGTGGCCCATGCTAATAGGCCATACAGTCTCTAGAGATGGGAAACGAATCATTAAGCATTTCAGAGATTGTTTTCCCATCTTGTATAGAAATAACATAGATTGCTTCCGCAGCTGAGCGACTACTTCGTCAGCCAAATACCCGGCTCCTGCTGCAAAGATGTCCACTGTCCAAGACCCGTGCGTATCATTATTCTCCCTGTCTGTGTCGCGCAACACCAGTTTCCTGTAGCCCTGCCTCCATCAGCTTCTCCCTCTTCCTTGCAATCGGTGAGTTCAGCATACAAGCTTCAGATTGATAAGCTCCTATGTACTGCTGTTCTAGACAAACAATGACAACGATGCCTTCTTGTTTTTAGTACTAACCAGCATTTCAGAGAACAAAGTTATTGCTGTAAGTAGCTTTTTGAAAGTTCCTTTTCAGTTTTCAGTCTTGGGTACATGAAAAAAATGATGTCACAATCTGAAAAAGTTTGGCCATGTAATGTCAATTCTAGCTGAGAATTACATATTATGATAGTACAATGAGATGCTTGTGTGCATTAGTTTACGGTTTTACGCCATGACTTTTTTCCCTTCCTTTAATTGATCTAAATGCAATGGATGCCATGCACTGTACGAAACTATCTGAATTTGCTCAGTGGGTACAGGACATCGTCAACAGCAATATCTGCACTTACAGTTGGCAAAACCGAATTTCAGCTCCGATCAAAGCTTCTACTTCATGGCTGCGCATTCTAAAAATTTAGTGATTTTGCCCACTAAAGATATAACATATCTGCTACTATTAATAGCACGTGATCCGTTTTTCTTCATTTATGCTAACCGTCAGAACTAATAAAATGCTTGATGATATTAGTGGATCTCTTTATAACCGTATATGTCTGGTTGTTCCAAGATAATTGTTAGCTGTGATATTATGTCAATTGATTATCTTGCTGATGCTGATCCGCTCTATCCATCGGAATTCTTACATTCTGTAGTCGTTAAAAAATTTGCACGTCATGAAATTGGTTTGGAAGTTAAAAAATTATTGACGTATATAATAAAGGACAGTGTTTTTGTATTTTTCAGGTTGTCAAGAACGCGCTGGCCGCTGGGCGTATGGCTGGCTGTTTAGTTAGATTGCTGTGGCTGGTTGTTTAGTTAGATTACTGACAACAATGTCCCATTCATTTGTGCGCATGATGATCAGCAAGATTCATGGACAGCGCAAATTAAGTAGTAGAGCAGAGCGTTTATCTTATCAATATGTATATCGTATGTGGAAAATTATAATACCCTTGAAGACCCATAAGGAAGAACTGACTCTGAATGCTATAGTCAACCGCGACAACTAGCTCTGAATGCTACGTTAAAAAGAATGAATAAGCCAACACGGCCGGCAGGTCTAATCGTACTCCCAAGTGTATTTATTTCCACATTGGCACAATGTATAAATTTCATCAACAAACAAAAAGTGCACAACTGTTAGATACATAATCAATCGTCTGTCACCTCGCCACAGACACAGCAGCACGGTACACTAGATTTTCAACAACTAAAAAATATCAAAAGAATTAGCGTGCCGTGGCACGCCGGGCAATCTATATTGATATGTATCATATAGATCTCTTATGTAGCCGTCAGGCAATCTATATTGCTACGTATCATTTAGATCTCTTATGTAGATGAACCGTTTTCTTGTATGCACTACTTTGTCACGATCACCCAACTAAATGTACATGAACTACTTTGCCAAAAAAAATATCTTGTGACCACTTCATCAAATATTAAAAAAAGACCAAAATAGCTAATTAGTCCATGTGGCGCGGCGTGCCGCCGTGCACTACCCGCTAGTATGATCTACTCATGGTAGACTTGTACCACACACGCCACTACCATAGTTTCCCCGCGCCGGTTCTCACTACGGTAATTAAGAGTTTCCATGTGGATGCGGATTCGCTAAGTGTTCTATGTTATTCCCCTATCAATTGCAATGGCGCAGAATTGAGGATTTTATTGTCACCTTGAATTACCTAGACATCTTAAACTTTACAACAACAATAATATGCCTCATGACCTTACGGCGAAAATGTTGAGTGGGGCCCCTTCACAACATTCATGAAGGATATTAAACCAAACATTCAACAGAGAAACTCATGTCCTTATTAACATTTCATCCCCTATATATACCAAAGTTCATCCATATCCCCTGGAACAAGGGGGTCTACTCGCACATGGATACAGTGAAAATCGTATGAATAGTGGTCGTAAACATGAATGGGACAAACGAGACACGTTGTCGGTGTCTAAGAACCTGACATTGGGTTATATGTAGCAACCCTTTGTGAGTTCGGCCAGGGACTGAACGCGTTAGGTTTCCTAAGTCATCGATCGCCGGGGATGGGTGACAGAAAGCAAGGTACACCGGAGCTATCCAGGTTCAGGCCACCATTGTGGTGTAATACTCTTTTTTATCCTTTTACAGCATTTGCCAAAAAATACATTATTTTTTCTTGAAGAGATTTACAAATTCGATCATTCTGTTATCCAAATTCAGTAAACCATGAAACATGCATATACGGTTTTTATATATTAATGTATGATTCAAATTTGCACCTTGTCTTGAGACAAGAAATGTATGGCCTAATAACTAGCTAGCAACATATGGACTATCATTGCAGAAAAGGTAGCATTACAATAATCACCAATATTTTAATAAAACTGAACACAACATTAGGAATATAACAAGTGTCTAAGAGGCCCACAAAATCAGAAGAAGGATAAGTCAGTCTTGTCAACTTGCTGAAACCTCTAATTACATCCCACAAGTTGATCTATGCTGAACTAAAACGTTCACGGAGAACTAGGAACATGGACGCACCATTTCTTGTGGTGGGAAGCAGTAGAAAAGCAAGATGCACCATGGATTATGTATAGAATCGTAAGTTGATTGAAAACCATAATGGCGCAAATGGGCTAAAGATTCAATTGCGCTAGCATAGATCTGATAGACAGAACATAGGCTTACCAAGCGTAGTGAAACAACTGAGATCTGAATGGATCTTTAAAGTTCAGACGACCTCGCCAAGGGGGCTTCAATTCAGACAAGAGGACGAGAGAAGAGATCCACCCGATTCAAATGGTTGGTTGTAGAGGCAGCGGCTCGATGGATTTTGCAAGATTTCCGGGTTATATATAAAGGAAACTCAGCCACGTGAAACCCTAGGTTATGAAGGGGATTGGGACATGGAGAAGAAAGGAAAGTATACATGCTAACTTTTCCTTAATCCGGTAATTAGCCGGAACAACAAACACATAATTCTTAATGTTATGTTTTAACAACGACGGGATGGAAAGGTTCATCAACGACACTAGATCAAAACGCCTATGAATGAATTATCGCTCGTTTGTGCGAGGTTTTGGGGCGAGGATGCAGGGAGTGATCATCATCACGACCTTGTGGACGTGCAGCTTGATATTGTATTCCTGGTCCAGGAGCTCGAACACGCACACGTCCCACTTCTCCAGGTTGTTCTCCATGGCGAGCGCCCCCCACCCGGCACTGAACGCCGCGCGAGGACACTCACCGCCGGTGTACTCGTACCACACCTTCCACGGCTTTGCCTGCGGGTCCCACAGCGTCATCTTCCTACTCTCTTTGGGGAGGAATGTTTTCACAAACTTGTCCGGGATGATCTGCCGTTGCAGGTCAAACATGATCAGTCAGTGAGCAATGCAGATTTGAATGTGTATCGACTATCGAGAGAAGAAATTGAATTGATCAATTACCATGAAGTACGAGGCATAGACATCGTTGTGCTTCATTGCCTTGATGGCGAAGGGCCTCTCGGATTTGAACCTCTGCGCCCTCTCCATGGCACATTCCTTCTCCCTTTGAGTTACTGGACGCCTCTGTGATGTTAATCCCAGCCTTCTCATAACCTTGATGAGAACTAGTATAAAAAGATGCAGACTATCAGGCTAGTTCACTTCAAGTTTGTTCTAATTAGTTCTAGCAATATAATAAAAGGGCGCGCTTACAGGAAGGAAGGAAGGAAGGAAGAGATTTACCTCTGCCAGGTTGGTTTTCACCATTGCTCTTGTTGAACATTGGGAATTGATTCTGCTTACTAAGCCTTTTACCAAAAGAATTGTGCCACATGGTTAAGTCCGTGCACACAGATTCTGGTGCGAATACACCTGTATGAACTATATGTGGGTAAGGTTCATTAGCTCGATGACAAGAGCATATAGATAGAAACTATTTTATAGTATAAGACCAGTGCTATGTTGCTAGCAGAGAATATAAATAGCTCGATGACACAACATCTAAGCTATCTCAACCAATATGTGTATGTGTGTGCGCGCGCGTGTGTCAACAAGTACTACTCATTTTGAAATTGATTCCTTACCTGCCAAATTGTCACTTGATATTGTTTCTTCCGAAGATTTTTTGAGGGGAACTCTTTTGGATGATGAACTAGAAGAACTGGTACAAACAATTAAAGGACCAGCAAAGCTTTTACCCTCGGCCTTGGACTCCTTGGATGGACGACTGTCCAACTCTGCTTACAATGTATGTGCACACGGGTTAGCTAGATAACAAGAGCCTATGAATCATGTGACAACACTTAACCATCACGATATATAGTTAATTTGAAATTGATCCATCTAATGGTTATTCTGAATTACCTGCAAAATTGTCGCTTGATGCTGCCGCCTTAGAAGGTGAATCGCCAGATGCAGACCTTATCTCCTCAGCCTTGGACTTCTTGGGTGGACGATGCTCCGATTCTTCTTACAGTTCGATATGCACATAGACAAAGGTTAGCTCGATAACAAGAGTATAAGAATCATTTTACAAAATGAAGCCATCCCATACCAATATATACATAAAAAGTACTACACGTACTAATTATTTTGAAATCGATCGATCAATCAGAGGGTTCTTCTTAATTACCTGCCAAACTATCGCTTGATGCTGCTCCCCCAGAACCTAGATCACCAGATGGACCTTCAGAGTTCTTCCTCTCCACAGTCTTGGACTTCTTGGATCGGTCCACTTCTGCCATGATATCATCAACCTTCCTAAACCTAGCCCTCTTCCCGACCACAAAACCATCGTCGGTCTTGCGTAGATCCTCCTGTTGTTGTTGCGCTGGTTCTAATGCATCGTCGCTGCACATGTGACATTCACCGTCTTCCTCGTTCTCTGCAGTTTCTGATAATGCGTCTTCAACTTCCTCTGCCTCTTCATCTTCTGAAGCATCTTCTTCTTCTGAAGCTTCATTTTGTGGTGTACCATCTACACTGGTGCCAGTGTGAGCGTCTTCTTCTTGAGGGGCAGTACCATCTGCATTGGTGCTCATGAGCCCTTTCTCTTCCTCTCCAGCCACGTCGACATCCTTGCGCTGCGGCTGGGCGAGAGACGCATAGGGATCCTCGCAGGACGATGGCAAGAAAATGATCACTGAGAACTGTGACTGCCCCTCGTAACGGAATACCAGCATGTAGCCATACCCGATGCGATTGTCGGAGAGGAACTCCTTCCATCCACGTGCAAAGCGTAGCTCCCCAGAGATTTTAGCCAGCTCTACGGGCCATTTATTCCCGCTTGGACCTCTCAGGGAAACCATTCCTGTACAATCTTCCAAGTATTTGTGGAATCCTACTGGAATGGTCTGCAACATATGTCATTATACAAATTAATTAGAAATGGCTGAACACGTCGAGCACAACCCAAACATGCATATATGGCATTTAACCTTGCCTTCCTATCGTGCAATCCCAGCTATCAGTCACTGCTCAATTGGCATTATATTTTGCGGAAATATTACATATGTCTCTTTTATTTACAATCTACATTTTTTTGTAAATACAAAAAAATATAACTTTCATGAAGTAGTTTATATTTCAGATATGTTATCTCTTTTATACTTCGCAACGGCAGAAAACATTGTATAGTCCATGTTTCAAACATATCAATCACAAATTGAACAAAGAATCTATTGGGTGAAATAGATTATATATGTACAATTTTAACTCTATCAAATTAGAGAGCACCATTCCTAAAAGTGAACTGTAATGGAAAAGATAATCTTCACAACAATCATGCAAAATATGGTAGGTAAAAATGGAACAACTAAAATTAGTTAGTCCCTTTCTTTGTTGTTATGAATCAAGAAAACCTACCACGTGTTCCATAAATGAATAGGATATGAGCGCCCTAAAGAAGTGAGGGCAATTTTTTTTGCCATTCTGGTCCTTCTCATGCCTTTCCTTCAAATCCTCTTCCTCTTTATCATTTTTCTTCCTTCCCTTCTGCTTATTTATCTCCTTTTGTTCCTCTCCTTTCTCTTTCTCAATTTCTTGCTGCCCTTGTTCTTCTTTCTCATTCTTATTCTCCTCCTTTCCTTCCATATGTGACTTAATCTTCTTCTCATTTTCCTTTCTTTTCCTCCGATCCTCCCTCTCCTTCTCCTCATCATCCTTTTTATCAACAACTCTCGTTTTCTTCTCTTTCTCCTCCTTGTTCTTATTCATCTTCCTCTTCGAGGAATTTTGCTTCTCCTCTGCTTTCTTACCACCTTCAGCTTTATTTTGCTTCCTTTTCTCTTTCGTATTAATATTTTCATCTTCCTCTTCTTTTACCTTGACATTTTGCTTATTATCTACCATGCCCATAGTGTTATACTGTTTTTTATGACGTACCATGATTGGACCTTTACATATGGCAGGTACTTCTCTCTGCAATACAATAGAAGATATATGATACATTAGCATAATACTTTTTGCAATGGTAATAATGGCATATAATACCACACAAGTTTCATTCGAGATCTGAATCTACATATGAAACACTTTCCAAGTTTGGATTTTTGTTCCAACTATTCAATGATTATTCCAAATTGCATTATTTATTTTCAAGAACACTCTTATAGAGTCCTTTTGTTACAGACAGAAATATTATTTCCATATAAGCTCTTTAGTGAATAAAATAGAACACTATTTATCCCATATTTATATACAAATATTGGTCACACAAGTACACATCATACATGAATGCTAGGAATATATATAGAGTGGCGACATGCATAATATTTTGGCGAGGCACACTTGCACATTTCTATATATTCATCTAACCAGGAAATCCGGTTTTGATACCTTATCCAATCTATCCACTAATAGACCATCATGTGCTCCCCATGTTTATCCTTTATAGAATTTTACAAACGAACATTATTTTGTCTTGATGAGATTTACAAATTCGATGATTCCATTATCAAAATTTAGTAAACCAAGAAGCATGCACATATTGTGTATATTACCATCCTTGTCTTAAGACGAGAAAGGTATGGCGTGACTAGCAAACCAATGGTTATCACAACAGAAAAGGTAGCATTATACTAATCTGCAATATTTTAATAAAAATAAATTTAATATTATGAATATAGAAAATTATTTTTTCCTAGTATCCTAGTGGAGTTCTTTCTTCCAATATATAGGGCATTAGATCATTCTTCCAACATGGCCAAATTTCTAATGCGAGGATGACAACACCAACAACATTATTGTGTGTTTCACAAGAATTTATACCCCCCCCCCACGCGCGCACACATAGACTCAAAGTGAGAAGATACATCAATCTTATCAAGAAAACCTCTAGTTATATCCCACATGGATCTATGCACAACTAAAACATTTAGAAACTATGAACATGGAAACAGTTGTCCTTTTGTTGGGAAGAACAAAAGCATGATGCATATTGGATTTATAGAATAATAGGGCGAGACATAATCATAACGATGGCCCAAAGATCTAACTGCGCTAGCATAGGTCGGATATACCGTAGGGCTTACGAAGCGCCGTGAATCAATTTAAATCTTGATAGATCTGAATATCAGACCGCTCCAAGGGGCATTCGACTCAACGGAGAAGATGAGAGAAGAGATTTAGATGAAGGCCAGCATGGTTGGTTGCGGCGGTGGCGGCTCGAGGGACTTTGCAAGGCTTGGGGGTTATAAAGGGGGTCAGAAAGGGGGAAACCTAGGTTTTGAAAGGGGTGGGACTTGGGAGAAGAAAGGAAAGTCCATATTTTTTTCCAGGCCCATCATCATCAGATGACAATATCAAATCTCGATAGGCCCAATTCCAGGCCCACCAGTTTTTATTTCATGTGTCAATGGTAACACTTCTACCGAGGGTCTATTTTAGGCCTGTTGGTTGAGGGTGTCCCGTAGAGGATCAATCTATAGTATTTTTTTATTCAAAATCATAAGGCCAAATAAGTTGATTTACGTTCATCTAGTATGTATTTTCAATTTTGAAAAATTGGTTGCTAAACTTGTATTTTAAAAGCAAGCTTAATTTTATGACATTGTACAAAATATATTTGGATATGGTACCGTGTTCTCCAGTAGAAACTACAGAACATCGATCAAACCAATAGACGTTTTGTTGTATTTCCGCATCGGATTTTTTTATTCATGTGTAAACAAGGAGATCCATGAGAGTTTTTTCTTCATATAATCAATATTGTGATAGGAAAATGTTTGTGGCCGGCGTGCTGGCTGAAAACTCAGTCGGTCGGACGCGGGCCGGGGATTGAGGAGTGTAGGCCGCATGCCATCTGCTGTCACGCGCCCACTGCACCGCTTTTATTCAGCCTTATCCTCCCTCTCGAATGCCTGGTCCACTCACTTCCCTCCCTCCTCTCGCTAGTAGCCCTCCCTCTCCGCCATCAATCCACCAACACGCAGTAGCTCACCGACCATGGAGCCGCACCACCCCCGTGTTTCCCTATGTGCCACAAAGGCCACCGTTGCCGGCAGGCAAGGTCTTCGACGCCCGAACTGCAGGATGGCCTCTGGGGCGATGAGTTACGTCAACGGCACATATCGGACACGGGAACGGCATGCCGCCTGCCGTGCTCCACCACATAGCATGTTGTCTTCCTCTGTCGCGGTCGCTGTGTGCTCTGACGTGGGCCGTGCTAGATGGCGACCAGTATATGGGAGGAGGGGCGCGACTGCATGGCATGTTGCAACCGGCAACTAAGGAGCTGGAACTGGCGGCGAGCGTGCTGCAACCGGTGGCAAAAAAAGCTACAAGGAGGGGGGCGACGTGTGACGATGCGGCTAAAATGCTGGAACCAGCAGTCATTTTTGCTGGTACCAGCGAACTGTGGTGCTACAATCAGTGTCAACAAGAGATGCGACATGCACGCGACGGTCGACGACGCGGCAAGAGTTGTGCTGGAACCAGCCAATTTTGGCGCTACAACGGTGATCGCGGCTAGCTCGAAACGTGCACATGGGATGCTGCAACAGTCACTGCGGTGACCACGGCTTACTGGATTTTGTTACAACGGTCACCACAGCCAGCTAGAACCGTGCACGCGGGATGCTGCAACGGCCACGGCTTGCTGGATTTTTGTTACAATGGCCATCGCGGCTAGCTGGAACCATGCACGCGGGATGCTGCCAACGGTGACCACGGCGAGTACGATGTGCTGGAGAGCAGCAATGGCAACGTGGTGACACTAAAGAGCTGCAATGGCGATGGTGGGGGCCCATTGAAGCTACAATGGCAACGGTGGCGAGCTGGTGGTTGTTGGAACCAACAATCAGCAGTGCTACTTCGTGCATGGCGTTCTGCTGCAACCGTCCACGACATCTCACCAACAGCCATGACATCTCTCCGGCAGCCACAAGATTTTTTGGATTTTTGGCGAGATTTTTGCTGGAACCGGCATCCTCGTTTGCTACAACCGGGCACAATGTTTGCTGCCACCGGCCCCGGCGGCCCCGGGTGACATCTTCATAGGAGCTCGACGACCAATGGGGCCCGTCAACGGGGACGTCGCCGGCGGTGAGCAAGGTGGACCTTTTTTTCCTCACGCGAGATGTGCCAGGGCCACCGCGGTGTTGGTTGACTTTTTATGTTGTTTCTCTGTGGGTGAGAGGTGAACGAGGACGAAGATTAGGCTCTAATCAAACAGTCGTTAGCAGGCTTATCGGACGGCCGCGGGCCGACCGGCCCAAATTTAGGCCGGCGCGCCGGCGCAGAGTACTGCCCATAATGCACCGTACAATATACTTTTCTATGAAAGTGTTTTCTTGTATAGTGTTTTTCTTGTATAGTGTTGCCGAAAGGTTACATTGGTAATGATATTATCTCTTTCAAATAGGGCTGGACCAGCAGATTCTTTCTATCATGTTCGTCTGTGTTGGAGGCGGAGATGGCAACGTGTAAGGAGGGGGTTAGTCTTGCTATGGATTGGTCTGACAATCCGCTAATTATTGAGACTGATAGTATGCAAGCTGTGCATTTTCTCCACGAGGGTGGACTTAATTGATCACCGGTGGCAACACTTGTAGAGGATACGAAGAGGGGTCTGAATTAAGGACGTGAACATCAAATCATGCATGTCAAACGTGGAGGCAACGGAGATGTGCACTACATGACACAATATGGCCGCACCTCTCGCCACACTGCCGTATAGTTGGGCTCTGGTCCTGATGACTTATGTAATCTCTGTCAAAATGAGTGTAACTCCATGATTTAATCAATATAAATCTCATTTGACTCGAAAAAAATGAAGCTGAACCAAAAGCTCGTAGCTCGTGAGCTTGATGAGCGCTCAATAGTTCAGCTCGTTAAGCTCGTTAGTAATAACACAACACATATTTTCATTTTACGTGACAAAATTTTCGTAGCACCTCAGCCCATATATTCAATCTAATCTACATAGGAGGCAACAAACTAGTGCATTTTTTTTGTAGTCACCATCTTCCTTCTTAAAAACCACATCTACACACTCATCTTGTAGATAGTAACACATCAAAATATGTTAGCGAGCGCTCACAAGTTTCAAGCGAACCGAGCCGAGCAGGGTTTTCTGCTTGTTAATCTTAACAAGCTTAATAAGTCGAGCCTTAACGAGCACGAGCTTAACGAGTCGAGCAGCTCGTTAATTCACCCCTAGATGACAAATGGGTTTACTTAGGCCATAGGTTTTCACCCGCTTTTCTTGATGGTGGTGTGAAATATATAATATTGCCTCACAAGAGAGATAACATGTGAAGATGAACATAATAGGTGTTGATCTTTTCTTCGCGGAAGAAAATAGTTGCTGATTTGCTCAGCTGATGATTTTCATGCCGTGCTGCCTTGTGATGTCTTTTTCCTTGTCAGGCACATTGTCATGTGTGTTGTACCATTTTACTTTTCGTTGTCTTGGCCATTGTATCGTGGAACCACTCGTTTTTGAATAACTGAGCTCTGCATTACCAGGAAAGCCAAGCATTGGTTCATTATTGTACTTGGGGTAGAGTTGTTGCTGACATTTATCTGTTGGGGTGAAGACACCAACCAAACTGGGATTCGCAGCAGATTAAGAATCATTCACTTCTGAAGGAACAACGAGAGAGAGAGTTGGATTTGCCTAGAACACCAACCATAATTGGCACAGTTGTCACTATCATTGGTCTGAAGTTGAAGGCACCAAATTGCACTTCGCAAAGTGGATTAAGAATTCCAAAAATTAAGTGGATTGAGAATTAGTACAAAAGATGTATAGAAGACGGATTCCTTCCTCGTTGTGTAAATGTTCAACGAGGAGAGATCAGCTGGTTTCCAAGATGACAAAATGATGCATCGGTAAATGCAAAACTTAATAATATTTTTCTGCAATTTCATCAACTCAAACTCTTGTTGCATTTCCTTAGTTTTTCCTGCCGTGCGTTAAAGACTCTCTGGTGTTCAATCGCAAAAAAAAAGACTCTCTAGTGTTATTTCAAGAAAATAAAGACAAGATACTCCTGCATTTTGCTCACTCTTAGGTTTAGAAACCCTACGAATCAAAGGAGCCCCTCGACCCTCGTGTGCTTCATTCGATCTGGTTGTGGACCTGAATTTTCAAAGGTTTCCAGTTATGGTCGTTCGCTTGTGAAAAATAACGGCCGGAGTTGGTTTCTCGGGAGGACACATCCGCATTTAGCAGCGACGACCGTCTGGTCGCGTTGGTCAACGCCGCCCTCCCGTCCAGTCACATCGCGTGGCATCAACACCGGCTATTGCGGCTCTGTGCCAGCAAGAATGTGGCACGGGAAACGACATATCCGTCGAAGAGAAAGCACATGAGAGGATTTTGGGCAGGTCCGAGGTGTCGCATGCGTGCGTGGCAGCGGTCCGGACACCCGCAAATCCACCTGGTTTGCTTTGTCCGGACCGGTCCGCAAACGGATGCGGGACAATGTTGGATTGGATAGCAAAACACATCCGGATCACGCGATCCAAACGGATGCGGATGGTTTGAGGGTCAGTGTTAGAGATACCTTTAGTTATCATCAGATATAAATATTGTACTCTTCCTTCATGGGTTTTCCAATCGGGTTTCTTATGAAAGGTTTTTGATGAGGCAATATTAGTTATACCATATCGTTTTCTCATTATATTTTCTCCACCGAGTTTTATAAGGAGTTTTCAATGGTATATCATGTTACTTATTACTCATTACTTTTTTAGGGTTTTCTTTGGGGGAGATTCTCAACATTATTAACAAATGAGTCTTAGGATAGATGACGAGCGACGGAAGGGGAAACCCTAGGTGCCAGACCTTAGGTCCCTTCAGGGACGGAGCCAAGATGAAAAATGAGAGGGAGCAATGATATATACGTATTTTTTTCCAGAAACGTCTATCGAACTAATGGATAAATAATAATAAAGAACACAAGCATACATATAGTGTGTTAGAAGCAAAATCACGCACTTCCTTATGAGATAATGTCATCACACACATAATTAATTAATTATAATAAGTTCATTGCGAAAGTAAAAGTAAACTAACCAGTTAAGGCACGATAACTTGACTATGTCATTCCTTTTTCTTGGTACGTCCTTGATTTCTAGCCTTCAAGCTGCAGGAAGATGAAACATGTTTGAATATAGAGAGCATATAAACATTGACAGATAAACATCTCTCCATTAGCTTTCCTGTCAATGCCAAATACTTAACGTTAAATAAATTGAGACCGTGAAGGCAGAATACTACTACTGATTTCATTTTACTCCCAGGTGCTCAAACCTATTCATATGGAATTATTAGGGGAGCCTAGATTCAATCAACCTAATTACCAATTTGTATATTGTAATTTATACACATGGATATTTGATACAATCCACTACCTTCTTGACATGGAAATCAGAATAAAATAATAATGGGGAAATTAGAAAGAAAAAGAGAGAGCTAAACATAGGCCTACCTTGATTGAACAATTGATTAGTACGGCTTCTTCCTTGGGGATGGCAGGCCGGCCGGCCGGCGTGCGCAGGGCAGGTCGAGGCTGATCGCTAGAGCGGGCGAGGTGTACGTGCAGCGTAGAGCGGCGGGCGGCGGCGCGGCGGTTTCGGCTCGTCAACGCGTTACGCGAGCGGCGACGAACACATCTGAAGCTACCGAAGACACCTACTCCAGTACGTTTCTAGCGAATCGAGAAAAAAGGGAAGTTGGGGCAAATACCTTGGGCTGAGTGGAGGCAGCGCTGTACATTCTGGGAGAGCAACTAATTAACGAGCGCTCCTTCGGGAGCCTCGCAACAATCAGCATCACTTGACGCGCTCTTAGCCATTCGTCATGTGTCGTGCTTTGGGCACTTCTTTCGGTTTTTGTTTTTTAATTTTTCCGCACGCGTTTTTGGCTTTTTAAATGGCTTTTTTTTCGGAGTTTTTTTTACGTTTTGGTTTTTCACTGGTCTTCCCTAGCTTTTCGACAAAAAAAAAATCAAAAAAAATTTTTGCGCAAAAAACGCATTTTTTTCGCGAGAGTCACGGTTTTGTTTTCACGAGAGGCACGACCGTGCCTCTTGGAAACGAAAAAAAAATGTGTTTTTTGTTTTTTTTTCTTTCGCGAGAGGCACGTTTTGCTTCTGCGAGAGGCACGGTTGTGCTTTCGCAAGAGTCACGGCCGTGCCTCCTTGGAAACGGAAAAAAAAACGCATTTTCTATTTTTTTTCTTTCGCGAGAGGCACGGTTTTGCTTCCGCGAGAGGCATGGTTGTGATTTCGTCAGAGGCACGGGCGTGCCTCTTTCGGAAAGGGAAAAAACCCGTGCTTCCGGTTCGGTTTTTTTGTCTGTTTTTTTCGTGAAAAAAACATTCGTCAAAACCTATCAACATGGAGTCTAGTTTTGAAGATCTCGACGCGAGGAATCCAACGACGAAAGCGGTTCGAGATTTGGACGCACGGTTTAAGAGATAAAACGTTTTGAATAAACAGATCTACGAAAAAAGGGAAAACTCCCAGGTTGCGACAAGTGGCGCAAGTTGGAGTGATGTCCGCAAGGAATACTCCTTAATTAGTGATTTCGATATTCTGGCCTGGTACATGTAAGCTGGAAAAAAAAAACCTTGCACGTGGATTCGCCTTGGGTCCCCTCCTCCTCGCCGCCACCTGGTTGCGCTGACGGGCGAAGCCCAACGGCGTGGGCGGCGGCGTCGAGTGGTGGCATCACGCTGGCGAGGGCGTGGCGGCGCACGGTGGACGCAGGCGGCGGGGCACGGGTGCTCAACGGTGGTGTGGTGGGCATCGTGGTGCGGGCGCGCTCGCGTTCGTGGAGGTGGTGCCGACCTGGTCTGGACTCCTCCAGATCTGGGCGCTCCGGCGGCCGTGGACGGTGTGTGGTGCCTCGCCGGCGGGTCTCGTTGGGGATGGGCCGGTGGTGACATGCTGGAGGCCTGGATGGTGGCACGCGGAATGGCCACAACCAGTTCCAGCCGGATATGACGCCGACGGTTCGTCGTGCGGCGCGGGCAGCGTGCGGCTTGGTTCATGGCATGTTCTTACCTTTGCCAGTGGGCAGCGGCGCCATGGTGGCGGTGGTGGCGGAGCGAGCATGACGATCGGATCTTCGGAATTTTTTCCGTCTGGCGGCGCGGGTTGGGGCATCGGCCTGGCGTGGTTGTTGCTCTGGTCGTGGGCGACGGCGACGAGATGCTCGGTCCTCTGCGTGGGGCTGCTTCCTTTCGCCGCGCCGGCATCACGACAGCTCGGCTGCGGCGGCGGCTGGATTTCTGGCGTCGGCTCGTTCGTAGGTGGTCGGTTCGACCTTCGCTACCTCACCTCGGCGTCCGGCTCTATCTTCGTTGATGGGTTGGCCCTCACCCAGCCGCGGTCCATGACTCGTCTCGCACCCCGGCTGTAGGACCGAGCTTGCCTCACGCCCAACAATAGGACTAACCATGTCTCGCACCTGGCAGCAGGACCATGCTCGTCTCATGCCCAACGGCAGGACCGAGCTTGCCTCGTGTCCAGCAGTAGGACTAACCTTGTCTCGCGCCCGGTAGCAGGACCATGCTCATCTCACGCCCAGCGGTAGGGCCGAGCTTGTCTTGCACCCGGCGCCGTAGGACAGGTCGGTGGAGGCCAATTTTCGCCGGCCTATTGGGTCTCCGCACTGGGGGCCGCCCAGGGGTGCGCAAGGCGGGTCCTTTCTGCTCGTATCTTTGGTTGGGGTAGCGGCGGGTCTCGGGTGAGGTGGTGTCAAGGTCTTGAATGTCGGGCCGGCGCCCCTGGTGGTGGTTCCGCGGTGCTCATGGGCAGAGCCCGTGGCTTGGATAGTTGTCACGACCATGTGGGCGGCGTGGTAGCCGGGGTGTGGCGTCAGGTGGCGGTGAGTGGTGGCCGGCGTGAAAATCTGCTCCATCTTCAAACGGACCGATGACGGCGAAGCTTGTTCCCTTTTTGAAGACGTTGCCGCGGCTCTCATTGTCTGTCGTGTTGCTTCACGGAAAACTTGATCTTCGGATCGGGCGACGGCACCCTTTCTGAAGGCGTCACCTTGAAGTCCATGGTTCGTCATATGCGGCTTCACTTCTTGTATTTTGAGAGCGTGCGTCTGTATTGGGTGTTGTTGATCGTTGCTTTATATATAAAATGGGACGAAAGCAGTACAATATTGATACTTCTATAAGATGTGTGCTCCAAGGATTGTTTATAATAAATAGTCCAAATCTATGAGAATCAATCACTTACTAGTTTTTACTAATCACATGGGAAACCCTGATCTTCGGATCGGGCGGCGGCGGCGCTCCTGTGTTATCCCCTTTCTGAAGGCGCCGCCTTGGAGCTCATGGTTCGTCATATGTGGCTTCACTTCTTGTGTTTTAGAAGCATGTGTTTGTACTGGATGCTGTTGATCGTTGCTTTATACTTCCTCCGTTCCTTAATATGAGGTGTATAGATATTTGAGGAAAAAAAATCCTAAATATAAGGTGTATTGCGTTGCACCACTCATTTGGATAATTTTTTTAGGGATTTGATTACATTTCCTTCTATCATGCAAGCTCCTCTATTTTCTCATGTCAATTAGTCAGGTGTAACCCATTCAAAACTTGTGAAATTTTCCCTCTACACACGTTCTTTAATTCCATGCCAAAAACTATACACCCTACATTTAGAAACGAAGAGAGTGTATAAAATGAGGCGAAAGCAGTACAATATTGATGCTTCTACAAGATGTGTGATCCAAGGAATGTTTGTAATAAATAGTCCAAATCAATGAGAATCAATCACTTATTAGTTTTTACTAATCACGGTATGCAGACATTCTTGGGTATTTTCTTGAGTGTTATCTATGGTGTGTTTCTGAGGCAGAAAAAAAGTACACTCTTGGGTACTTTCTTGAATGTTATCTGTGGTGTGTTTCTGAGGCAGAAAATGTGTTATCTATGGTGTGTTTCTGAGGCAGAAAAAAAATACACTCTTGCGTATTTTCTCGAGTGTTATCTGTGGTGTGTTTCTGAGGCAGAAAAAAAAGTATACTCTTGGGTATTTTTTTGAGTGAGGTGTTTATCAAAAAAAAAGAGTGTTATCTGTGGTGTGTTTCTGAGGCAGAAAAAAAGTACACTCTTGCGTATTTTTTCGAGTGTTATCCGTGGTGTGTTTCTGAGGCAGAAAAAAAGTACACTCTTGCGTATTTTTTCGAGTGTTATCTGTGGTGTGTTTCTGAGGCAGAAAAAAAAGTACACTCTTGGGTATTTTTTTGAGTGAGGTGTTTATAAAAAAAAAGAGTGTTATCCGTGGTGTGTTTCTGAGGCAGTAAAAAAGAACGCCGACCGTGGGGATCGAACCCACGGCCACGTGGTTAAAAGCCACGCGCTCTACCACTGAGCTAGGTCGGCTTTTCTGCTAAATAATCTCGATTTACTTTATAATTTCCGGTCCGTAACAATCCTGCGCCGCCGTTAGTCTTTAGACTGTCCGTTCAAGAGCCGCCTCTCAATCGTGAAGCATGTCGACGGGGATCGCCGGGGCGCCGCCGCCAACGGAAAGAGAGTCCTCCTGGTGGACATGTTTTCCACTCACCTCCGAGTCTCTCGGGATGACCCCAATCTTGGAAACAATGAGGAATCGTTTCGGCGATCTGCACGGGGCATCATTCTTCACGAGGACAATGGCGATTCTTTGTGAGGCTTGCAATATTCATGGACCTAACGCAAGAGCAAAAGGCGCAACAGACTCCCCTTTGCTCGCACCCAGCGACGAGGATGCTGTGGCAAGCGGCCACTACTGATGGCAAAGAGCAATCGACGTGGCAAGCGGCTGCCGGCGACGCCGAGGACGACGACACTAAGCAACCGCTACCGCCGCCGCCGCCGCACACTATCGGACCTTGCTTTCCGGACACTGGCACTTTATAGACCCGCTTTTCTGTGAGAATTCTCTCGGTTATACTACTAGGAATAAGAGACAAAATTTGTCTTCCTTTGCGAGCTTTACTTTGTTTAACATGCTTTTCTTGGTGGTGGTGTGTACTATAGCATACTGCCACACACGGAAATAAACAGTAACGGTTGAACTGTAACATGTGACAAGGAACAAAATAGGTGTTGATCTTTTTTCGCCGAAGAAAATAGTTGTTGATATGCTCAGCTGATGATTTTCATGCCGTGCCATATTGTGATGTCTATTTCCGTGTCAGGCACATTGTCTTGTGTGTTCTACCATTGAACTCCTGAAAGTCTGTTCTACAGTATAACTGAGCTTTGAACTACTCCCTCTGTCCCATAATATAAGAGCGTTTTTGACACTACGCTAGTGTCAAAAACGCTCTTATATTATGGGACAGAGGGAGTACTTGGAAAGCTAATCATTGTTCATTGTTGTGCGTGGGTAGAGTTGCTGTTGACTTGGAAAGCTAATCATTGGTTCATTGTTGTGCGTGGGTAGAGTTGCTGTTGACATTTATCTGATGGGGTGAAGACGCCAAATCGGACTTCGCAGAACGGATTAAGAATCGTTAACGTCTGAAGGAACAGCGAGACAGAGCTGGATTACCTAGAGCTCCAGCCATTGGTTGGTTGGTTCATTATCATACTCGGGCACAGTTGTCCCTGCCATTCATCTGAAGCTGGAGGCACCAAATTGCACTTCGCAAAGCGGATTAACAATTGCAAAAATTAAGCGGATTGATAATTACAGAAGACGGAATCCTCTTCCTCTTCCTCGTCGCGTCTCCGTGACGGCGTTATGTGTATGTTCAACGAGGACTGCGAGATCAGCTGGCTTCCAAGATGACAAAATGCATCAGGGGTGTGTTGGATGGACACTCTAGTCTTGGTTCAGAAAAAAACATGACATGATAATACTCCTGCGTTTTGCTTGCTCTTGAATTTTCAACGTCTTCCGGTTATGATAGTAGTTCGTTTCTGAAGAGCAGAGGACTCTGCGTTGGGCTAGAATACCAATGGTTGATTGGTTCATCATCATCATACAGCCGTCGTTGACATTTATCCTGAAGATGAGGACACCAAATTGGACTTCGCAATGCGGGCTAACAATTACACAAGAAAATTAAAATTGTACAGGAGACGAATTCGTTCGTCATGGTGTTGCTGTTGAGAATTGTTTGATCGGCTGTGGTGGTTTCTGGTACAAGTTTCACAAAGGAACACGAATTCCCTTCCAAATATGACAAAATGGATCGAAAATTCTGCTACATGGACTGAGGAGGAGTGGAGGCGAGGATCATGTCGGGGATGGTCTCGAGCAGGTAGGTGAAGAGCCCGCCGAGCAGGAAGAGGAAGACGAAGGCGAGCCCGATCTTGGCGAGGTACACGGAGGAGCCCTTCTTCCTCAGCAGCTCCCTCTCGCGAGCCCCCTTCCCCCCGTCTCCGTGCGGCGGCGCGTGGTGCGCGTGGTGATGGGCGCCCGGCGCGTCCTGCTCGGTGACGGTCTGGAGGCGCCAGCCGCGGCCGTAGTCGGCGAGGGGCGCGGTGGGGCCGAAGCACACGGGCTCCTCGCCCTCCTTGGCCGCCTCCACGTGCAGCGCCGCCGGGGCGCCGGGGGCCAGCTTGCGGTTCACCGCGTGCAGCGCGTACCGGGCGGTCGTCCCCGCCGCGAACCGCCGCACCTCGCCGGAGCTCCTGCAGGTCACCTCCAGGAACTGCAGGCCGATAATTGCTCAGAGAGGATTCTACAGTAATCGGACAGATATAGTAAGCTAGCTGGATGCTTGTGCTCTGAGCGGCTTACCGGCGGGGGAGGGGTGTTGCCGGCGCCGTCCGTGCGCGCCGGCTCGTCAGCTCGCCGCTCCGGCGCCGCCTCGTCCGGTCCCGGCGGCTTGCTGGCCTCCGGATTCGCCATGGCCGCGGGCGTGCAGGAGCAGAGGAATACTTTTTGTTTTTGAGGGAAACTAGTAGTGGTTGACTTGTAAATTCACGTGGGTAGGTTGTTTATAGGTTCGGATCGGGCCGAGCGCGGCCCAGACTAAAACCGGGCCTCACACGATCCACTGGGCTTGCATTTGGATCCCACCTGCTGCTGCCAGGGCCGCACGGGCCCAGCTTGCGTGCGGTTACGACCCACCCGCACGGGCCGGCGGCCGCAGCGGTGTTCGTTGGCCGCGATCGCGCGCGCTGCTCCTACGTGTCGTGTCAGAGTGAAGCCGGTGACCGGCGTCGCTCCCCTCCCCGCCGCGGCAGGCCGGCAGCGATGGGCAAGGGCGGCGGCTGCCTGCCCAGCAAGAGCCAGCGCCCCCCGCCCCCGCATCGCCGCGACCGCACCTTCATCCCGGCCCCGGCCACCACCGCACCAGAGCCGGCCCCGGCCACCGCCGCGCCGGAGCCGGAGCCGGAGCCAGCGCCGTCGCCACGCCAGGTCCGCATCTACGTCGTCTTCTACTCCATGTATGGCAACGTGCGGCGCCTGGCGCGGGCGGTGCAGCGCGGGGTGGGTTCCGTGCCGGGCGCGCGGGGGATCCTGCTCCGCGTGCCGGAGACGCTGCCCCGCGCCGTGCTGGCCCGGATGGGCGCGCTGGAGGCCGCCGCGGAGATGGACGCGGAGGGGATCCCCGTGGCGGACCCCGGCGGGCTCCCCGACGCCGACGGGTTCCTCTTCGGCTTCCCCGCGCGGTACGGCGCCATGGCCGCGCAGATGCAGGCCTTCTTCGACTCCACCGCGGAGCTCTGCCGCGGCCAGCGCCTCGCCGGCAAGCCCGCCGGCTTCTTCGTCAGCACCGGCACCCAGTGCGGCGGCCAGGAGACCACCGCGTAAGCCTTTCTCTTTCACGCCGTCCATCGCCGCCGCGAGATCGCGTGGTTTTGCCACCGGCCAGCCGTAACAGTGTTCGTCCGTTTGTGTCTCCTCTGTCTGTGTGCAGGTGGACGGCGATCACGCAGCTGGCGCACCACGGCATGCTGTTCGTGCCCATCGGGTACACCTTCAGAGAGGGGATGTTCGAGATGGAGGAGCTCCGCGGGGGCTCGCCGTACGGCGCCGGGGTGTTCGCCGGCGACGACTCCAGGCCGCCCAGCGAGCTGGAGCTGGCCCTCGCCGAGCACCACGGCAAGTACATGGCCACGCTGGTCAAGAGGATGGTGCACGGCGCCGATGCCTGATTCTACCAAGAACCCTTTGCCATGTCGCTGCTGCGTCGGGCGGCGTCGTTTTGTACACAAACAACATTGCTATTTAGCCTAGCCCCAGAATTCTGTTAAGATTACTCTGCAAACGCATGGAGTGCGTTGAACATTCATTAGAGTGAAGATATCATTTTGATCGACATCACCGGGCGTAGCCATTATATGCACATCTCAAATTACCCAAACACAATCAGCACCTTATTATTCGATCTTAGCAGAATACAGCCAGAGTGAACTTATGGTTAACCGACAGTAAAAAGTATCTCAGGCCTGCCGGAAGACAGCCTCACAATCCACAACGCCTTTCACGTAGCTCACACATCTAACAATTCAAAAAAATTTGCAGATTCTGATAGTACAAAAGAATATGTCCGTGAAAAAGGTCAGGGGCCGCATCAACCCCAACAAATCTAATCCTGTTCGACCAACCTCATACAACATATGTCTGGCCTACTACTCTTTTTCGCACGGGTAGATATCCTAACACATCACAAACCTAACGAGCACTCACTCATTTCCCACTCATGGAGCAATCTTCACCAAAAACCCGAGCCTTGTAGACCGAATGGCACCTCACTTCTTAGAAGGCGTACCATTCGCAATCTTTTGCTTGGAGCTTGCTTGGGGATCCTTCACTATCTTGGATGAAGAAGCGCCGTCTATGGCGATGTTCCCCAGCTCCGCAGCCATTGCATCTCTTTCATCGTCTTTCTCCTTGCCTTTGTTCTCTGGAGCGCCATCAACTGGATTCTCAGCTGTGTCCGCCAGCACTCTGGGCTGCCGTCGAAGGGGCCCAGCATCAAACCATGGGTGCTGGAGCAACTGAGCGGCTGTAGGACGCTTCTCGGGAACAAAATCAAGTATCGGGACGAGAAAGTCTGACATGGCAATGGCATCTATGTCGCTGAACTCGTACTTCTCAACAAGCACCTTGCTGAGAGGCCAGAACCGCAAGCGACGGATGTGCCTCAAGTCCCCGTAACGATTGAAGTAGTCACGTGAGTATCGGCCACCCAAGGCAATCTACAAAACGGAAATTCAACTTGGGATATATCACAAAACTACGAACAATTATAGCATTTTGCTTAAAAAGGAAAATGCAAACACCCTTACCTTTCGAGGCATCATTCCAAGTAGCTCCATCATAAGCGCAAGGTGATCCTGCTTCAAGTGGGAATTGCTCAGAATGAACTCCAAAATGAGAGTAAAGATAGACAATTTCATATAAAAAATATCATGTCTTAGTCTACTTTTAATTTGTATGGTGTTCCGAACTAAGTTTCATGGTTGACAATCATAAAGAGATTACTCAGCATACTTTTCAAAGAGATCTTCATAAATGAGATTCCAAAGAATTTGAATAATATATATGTAGTGGAACTCAGCAGTTGAGTGCAGAAATATGCAATCCACCAGAACAAACAGCATAAAGGATTTAGTTTAAGCTCAACTAAGACAAATATAGTTTTCATCTTCTAGCTATCCATATAATAGTACAATATATCACAACACAACGAAGCCAAAGTGACTTTATTAAACATGTTGCAAATACCTTTAACTTATCATGGTTAAATACCAAGATCCCAGTTCAGCCCACGGTGTGTGAAGTTAGCACAAATTCAAGAGGCGACACATAATTGTTTCCAGAAATTGCAAGAGAGAGCGTCGGTGACTATTTCATGATTAAAATGACAGCTTCATAACCAGATGGCTATTGACATCATAGCATTGTCTGCTATTTAGTTTAGTTTATTATATTTTCATAAAATGTAGCTGGAATAAATGGGTGTCTTAAAAAAATTAAGAACCCAAAATTACTAAGTAAAAAAACTGGGCCATGACTTGTGCGGTCCCAGTAGCAACCAAACTGCATGTACGTCTTTCAAGCCCAAGCCCAGCTATCATTAAAAGATTGGTGATCTTACGCTTAACTAAAACCAGAAGAGATATATAATAGCATGACAATAACAATGCAAGTTTAACTGTAATTATTAAAATTTTGCAACAAAAAAGAACCTGCTACAAGAGGCTTGGTTTTCAAGTATAGCTTGGAGAAGTAAATGAAGGGTATGGAAGAAAAACTAGAGTGCTGGAATGTAGGTATCATAGAGTCAGCTGTTGATTGCGATGACTACCTTTCTTAAATTAAAATAGGGGATATAATTTAACAGGTCATAAACAGAGTACAAATCCATAATGTTGAAAGTATGTTCTCAGTCGAAATCAAAGTGAGGAAATGAACAGAAATACCTCATCCCTGTCAAAGTTATCTCCACTATGCGGATCAAAGAGCACATCTCCTGAGGCAAGTTCAAAGCATATGCATGCAAAGGACCACAGGTCAGCAGATGTAGAGTACTTGGAGCCCAGAAGGACCTCAGGACATCTGTATTGCCTTGTTTGGATATCACTTGTGAACTGCTTGTACGTCCAACATGCATTCCCAAAGTCCACAAGCTTACAGCTTAGTTCAGCTTCCATCGCCATCCTCTTCCTAGTCCCTTTGCTGCCCCGCCTATGTCCCCCGCCTCTCTTCCTGTCCCCATCCTCGCTAGGACTGCCCTCATTTGCTGTACTCAAATCTCCCTTATCATCTGATTCGTCCGTGTCAACAGCTGCCACTGCCCCATTGCCTTCTGAAGTTGAAGCAGCTACACGTTTGGCTTTCTTCCGGATCTTCTTCTTTTGGTTCCTGGTGAGGCCACTACTAGCTGATGGTGCAGCAGGTGCCCTTGGAGGTGGCTCGATGGCCCTTGCAGCAGGGGGCACCAGTGGCACACCTGACTTCCGGGGATCCTTCGAGGGGTCAATGGTGGACACGAGCAATATATTCTCAGGCTTCAGATCCGTGTGGATAATGGAAAGCTCGCGGTGGAGGTAGTCAAGGCCAATGAGCACATGCCGGCATATCTCCTTAACCATCGGAAGCGGAATCCCGCGATAGTCCGTGTACTTGATCAGGGTGAGCAAGTTATCACCAAGAAACTCAAACACCATGCAGACATGGCTCCCGTTGGGGCCTGAGTGCTTGAAGTGGTCAAGAAGCTTCACAACACAGCGGGAGTCTTCAGGGTCGCCATCGGCAATCTGCCTCAAGATCTTGATCTCATCCATGGCAGCCTCCGTGTAGTGCTGTGCGCTCTTCTGCACCTTCAGGGCCACATACCTCTGCACACATAACCAACAGATTCAGAAACACTGGACAGCAGCAGCAGTGCTGAACCAAGAGGAGTAAACTCGTGCAGGGTGATAGGATTGAGGGATAGAACAGTAATAATAATGAGAAATGGACTTGGCATTTCTGCATATGCTCTGAGGCAAAAGAGCGAACAGTTGGTGGGCAGGCAAACCGCTGCATCCAGATCGATAAAAAAAAATCCTAGATATCTTCGTCGCGAATCCTAGAGGCAACGGGGTGATTGAACAGGGGATTTCGGGGCGAAGGGGGTGGCCAGCACGTACGGAGTGGGCGGTGTCCCAGGCGAGCCAGACGGTGGAGAAGTGGCCCCAGCCGAGCTTGGACTGCACGACGTAGGCGCCCTGCTTGAAGGTGTCGCCGGGGCGGACGGCGTGGTAGCCGCCGCGGCGGTAGTCCTCCGTGCCCTCGTCCTCGGAGGTGTAGACGCTGCTGTCCCCGTCCCCGTCGGCGGCGGCCGCCGCCTCCGCCTCCTCCTCCGCGCGGCGCCGGCTCCCCGCCTCCTCCGCCCTGCGGCTCGCCGCCGGAGCCTCGGCCATCGCGGGCGAGGGCCGGATCTGGGCGCCGGGAGAGAGAGAGAGAGAGGCGGTGGCGCGCGGGGATTAGGGTTTGCCTTGCCGCGCCGCTTTCTGGTGGGTAGGCCGTAGGCGGTGGCGCTCGTCCGTCTCGCTCCGCTGCTGGGCTGCCTCTCTCCCCCGCGACTGGACCGCCGTTTTATTATTTTTCTGCGGGTGCAGGGACGACCCGATTAACCCACTAATTATAATCTACCTTAAAAATTACCACTAATTAATCCTTTGCAATGTTGTAAAATTATATTTTGAGAGGACAGACTAACTAATCTGTGGCCCAGGGAATTTTTTTTTTTTGAGAAACACATACATCGAGTACCTTCGTGAAATTGAAATAGTAAGATTGACAAAGACACCATATGCATCCTGCTATCGACAGCCGACTGACAGAATATTTCACCTTTATGAGATACACATGTGTCAAATTTGAATATGATCTCTGATGGACTAGGAGGATTAGAGGCATAACCACCCTCCTAACCCTTGAATTGCTTTGGGTGAGAGATCGAACCTCCACTTGTTTCTGGTTTCTGCTTTCTCCCTAGGGAAAGAGGATATGATGCTTTTTGAGGAATGCAATCCTCACATCCCGGCCTTGCTCTGTAAACCAACATTTGCAGATCTATGAATCATCATAGTTTCCCATCCATTCATAAGATTCCGCGCTTGAGATGAGGTGATCTAACCGAAAAGATAGATACAAATCGCAAGTTCACTCTCATTGCTCCGTGCAAAAATTATGTTGTACCTCGTGAATACGTTTGTTTGAACATTGGTGTAATGTTGTGTTGTATGCATGAGGCTAAAGTCCACTTCATGAGCCGCCACCTCCCCTAAAAAGCTAGGGTTTCTTTGCCTCCCGTCGGTGGTCTGCCTCGTCTCCTGCGGCCGTAGAGTCATGGGAACAGAGTGGATCATGGTTCCTGCTGGTGGGAGGGCTCCGTTTTTAGATCTTTCTTCGAGTTTTGTTAGGGTTTCTGTCCTGCTAAGGAAGACGAGGCGGTGGCGGCTCCCTAAAAATGGAATAAGGTTCTCCCCTCTAGGCCCCGTTTCGGTGGTGCTTCCATCGCCGGTGGGCGTGTGAGGACGTGTCTCCGGCAGATCTGTCTACGGTGGATTTGCTCGCATCTGTTCATCGTTCGTCTATGTTCTCGTGTCTTCAGGTTGGATTTTTTCTGATCTACACTACTCTTCATCGACAACGGTTGTTGTTCTGTTGTGTTGGTTCTATGGGGCCATAGCATGACGACTTTCCGACTGTCTACTACAACAAGTTCTGCCTGGCTCCGTCGAGGAAGGGACGATGACAGTGACGCACATTCGGCTCCCTTTAGTGCTTGTAGTCGTCGCTAGGTGGTATATGGATCTAGATGTAATTTGTATTATTTCTAGTATTAGTTGTACTATCATGATTGAAAATGAATAGATCGAAAGTTTTTCAAAAAAAAAAGTCCACTTCATGAGGTTTTGTACTTGTCATTTTTTCATTTTATGGGTAAAGAATTGTATGAGTAATAGTCAATGATAATGTCATCTCAAACGACAGAAACTTTTATAAAGCACTCGGACGGCCAGAACCTAACGTGGTTCTACCCTCAATTCTTGCAAAGTTTGCTAAACAATCACTAATATTATTTTGAGTGCGCCTAAAATGAGTAATACAATTTTCATGAAGAGAAAAAGATATTTAATTCCTTTGACGACAGAGGAATAAACTGATCTATGCAATTCTCATGCTTGGATCATCTGCACCGCAACAAGCGAGTCCATCTCAACCTCTATGGGAACACCATTTCTCTACAACGCCAAGGAAATCCCCTTCATGACAGCACATAGCTCTGCCTCTAGAGCATCCCGGCACGAGAAAAGTTGTCTGCAAGACAAAAAATTAATGGCTCCATTGGGATCCCCTAGAACCATGCTCGCGCCCTGCTTGTCCATTTGTTGAGAATGAACCACCAACATTCAATTCCATCCATGATCCATCCATCCTTTGCTGGAATCCATTTGGCAAGTTTTTCGAAGATTGTCTGCATTTTTCATTTCAAACAGGTAGTTTTCGTGGGTACCATTCAAAAAAAGATACAGAAATCAAAATGTTCGCTTATGTACGTGAAGTTGTTTTTCGATAAAGTATTGTAGGAAAAAACACAAAGGATCAGAACATATAATATAATTATCTAATATTCTTTAATAGATTGAGCACATGTGGTCGAACCAAAGTGGTCGGACCCTTCCCTGGACCCTGCGCAAGCGGGAGCTACATGCACCAGGTTGCCCTTTAAAAACAAAGTGGTCGGACCCTTCCCAGACCCTGCGCAAGCGGGAGCTACATGCACCGGGCTGTCCTTTTATTGAGCACATGTGTATTATTGTATTTTCATAAGTTATTATTCCGCCCTAGGACTTGCCCACCTTCCCCTCTCATGCCTGTGCATACTAGGGTCATGCGATCGGGACAATGAGACTGTGGACCACCTCACAGCTGGGTGCGTTTTCTCGTGTAACGTATGGCATGGCATTCTCTCCCTGCGGCTTGGGACACATGGTTCCATTGCCGGACTCCACACTCGTCAATTGGTGGCTGGAGTCTCGTGAAGGGATTTGTTTTCGCCGTGCTTCTTAGGGTATGGATGCTTTGTGAGGAGCGGAACAGGCGCATTTTTCAAAGGTCGACTGTTGTCGCCCACGAGCTATGGCGACAGGTCTCGGTGGAGTTTGAGCTCTGGGCACACTCTCTAATGCAAAAGGATTGTCCGCCATATGGTGATTGTCCGTCCAGACAGCTAGCAACGTTCTCAATGGAGGTTGAGCTCTGGACACTAACTATGATCCCTTAGGTCGTTATTAGTTGGGTCGGCGTTGTCTGTGTATATTTGTGTGGTTTGATGGTCGCTCGACCTAAGCCACCAGGTGGGTCTTGTCAGTAACCGCGGCCTCGCGACGGCGCATTATTTGTATGGTTCTCTTTTCTTCTGCTTCTAGTGCATCGGCACACAAAGCTTTTGTGTGTTCGAAAAAAAACTTATTATCCATGTATTCAAATCAACACATAACAACGGCATGATTTTTATCTTCCATACAGTGAATTTCATTTTGGAACGTATTTAAACTCCAGTCATAATCGAACAAATAGCCAACCGATTAAGTTGTACTTATTCTTTTTTTTTTTTGCGTATGAAAGGGAGTTTTATTCATCAGTCAAGAGCATAATCAGTCTTACATAGATCAGGGACATTGCCTGGCCCCGACCCCAGCCATACAACCGTGCGGCATTCAGTTCTACCAAAGCTAGCTAGATAATGACTGATGCTATTCTGCTCCCTACAAATATGAGCTAGCTTAACTACTCTCCCTTCCGACATAAGCCTCCTGATCTGATCAACCAGCATGGAGTAACGGGATCGATCTCTGTCCACTGCTGTGATCATCTTAAGAGCAACACGACAGTCTGTCTCCACTTCAATAGGTAGCTGCGTCCACTGCAAGGCAAGGTTCAAACCTTCCAGGCAGGATAGAAGTTCGGCTTCTAAAGGTTCTGCACATGCTCTCAGTTCTCTGCATGATGAGAAAATGATCTTACCCAAACTGTCCCGTAGAACCATTCCAGCGCCGGCCGTTCCGGTGGAGGCGCAAAACGATCCGTCGACATTGAGTTTGGTCCACCCATCCGCTGGAGGAGTTCATCGTGATCGCGCCTCGTCCGCAACCCGAGCATGTGGTACAGGCTTGCTGGGCGTCACCACATCAACCACTTGTTTGCCTTTCGCCGGGTTTGCACTCGGGTTGTTTTGGGTGCCCACGAGTGAATCAACATAGCTGAGAAGGAACCTCTTGGACGCTTCAACCGAAGGAGGCTGCTTATGATGTGTCATTTCATTGCGCACGTACCAGCAGCGCCAAAGGGTCATCATGAGTTCCATCCTCTCCGTGTCAGGCAGGTCACAAAGAGTTTGGGCGAGCCACTCCGTGCCCGTCCGATGGAATGTCGTAGCAGCAGGAATTCGCCATTGCTCTGCCATCGCTTGCCAAAGGGCCACCGCCCTGGGACATCTGCAAAAGGCATGAAATGTGTCCTCCGGCTCCATCGCACAGAGAGGGCATTGGTCAGAAACTTCCAATCCTCGCCGTTTTTTATTAACCCAAGTGGGCAAGCAGTCCGTGATCAAGCGCCAAGTAAAAGTGCGAACCTTAGGAGGAGCAGGGCACCTCCAAATAAAAGCCCAGACGGCTCGTCGCCCGTCCGGTGCCCTGCTCGCTGCGACTGATGAAGATCGAAGATGATCTTCCAAAGCAAGTCGATAAGCACTCCGCACCGAGAAGTGTCCGTTACGCTCAGGACCCCACGCGAGGAGATCGTCGCCCATCCGAGGTGATGTCCGAATCTTAACTATCTCCTCGGCGTCCACCGGGAAGAAGGTATCGCGTACCACATCCATCCGCCAAGCACCATGGTTATCCAGCAGTTCGCTCACCCGACGGAGACGGCACCGGCCCTGCGGTGTCACCGGTCTTCCGCTGCCATTTCTCGGGATCCAGCGGTCACGCCAAATTCTAATTGAGTTGCCGTTCCCCACGCGCCAAACCAGCCCTGTTTTCAGGAGCTGCAGTCCATGTTCCACACCTTTCCAAGTCGCCGAGGCCCCTCCTGAAAAAACAGTGTCATCTAAATTACCGTTAGGGTAGTACCTCACCTTCAGGACACGGGCACAAAGGCTCTCCTGGTTAGTCAAAAGCCTCCACGCTTGGCGGGCCAGCGACCCCCTTATGACTTTGGTTTTATAAGGTGGATCCATGCTCTCCAGTGCATCTTCCTTTTTCCCTTCTCTACTCCCCAAAAGAAGTTGCGAATCATTCTCATTAGGTCTTCGCATGTGGACGCTGGAAGTTTGAACACGCTCATCACGTATGTCGGGATTGATTGGGCAATTGATTTTATGAGCACTTCTCTCCCGCTCTGGGCAAGTTGTGAGCCATCCCATTCGATCATCCTCTTCATTCGGCAACATTGTATTCTTGCCAACATGTGTGCCATGGCAGGAAGGCGAGGCAAGCTGGGCCACTGGCACTGTCGCGAAGGCAAGCTGGGCCACTGGCACTGTCGTTCGGTCAAAAAATCAGTACCCCGGTAATGAAAGTGGAAATATTGCTGTCCAATTGATCGTATCCGATCCGCGACATGTGTGCCATGGCAGGAAGGCGAGGCAAGCTGGGCCACTGGCACTGTCGCGAAGGTAGCAGCTGTGTGCGCTGAAATAATTGTCGTTATGATGAGGTGTGGTGCACCGGCTCCACTTGTAATTTATGAACCATCGATGCACTGTCAGCGAGAAAGGGATAAGAAAATAAAAACAGTGCGCGTGTAGTGTAAGGGCATCTCCCCTCAAAACGTCTGCATTACATTCGGACCGAACTATTTGGACATAGTACATGGACCCGTATTTGACTGTGGATGTGTCCGTTTGTTCGAGTTCCTGCAAACCGCCGTGGATGTGTCCGTTTGTTCGAGTTCCTGCAAACCAAACACAAACTGGTGGAGGTTTGCAGGCGTCTGGACCACCGCCATGTACGCGTTCGACACCGCAGCCCACTCAAATCCTCCTTCGCGGATCACTTTTCTTCCACTTTCCTCCATGCTCCCTCCTCTGCATCCACCACATCCTCTTTGTCAACGCTGCTGCTCTGGGCCGGTCTTAAGATTTTGGGGGCCCGATGCAAAATTATAACCTAGGGCCTTCTTAACATAAGCATCAAAATTGTTTTCTAATTCTGCAGAAAATTGTTTTTGATTTTTTTGGACTATCTGCAATTGATTTATACTCCATGTACTACATTTCTTTACATCATTAGCATTGTTACTTTTTTGTGGCCATTTATTTTTACTTCAATGCAGGTGCTTGAATTGACCCCAATTAATTCAACAAAATTAATTGTATACTTTGCCCTAATAGTCAGCCTTGAAAAGCAGAAATTGCTTTTGGAGGCCGAGCTCCAAATGCAAAATTCAAAATTCTAGAAAATTCATATTTTTACATTTAAAAAAATCTGAAAAAAATACATATATAGATGAAGGCATAATACGCAATTGTGTAAATTTTCAGAACGAAATACGTTGAAATGAGGGTTGTGCAAAAAAAAATCTGGAGCTTTTTAGCACATGATACTATTCATCCTTCCGGACCATGAATTTGTTTTTTTTGTACAGGTTGCATTTCAACGTATTTCATCCTGAACTTTTACACACATCCACCTCACATCCTTGTTTACTTGTACAAACTTTTCCAGATTTGTCTGAAACCGGAAATTTTGAATTTTAACTTTTTTCAAAAATTCGGCCTCGATGGAGGCCGAGATACAAAACGCCCTACTCCTTGAAAAGGCCCATGTTAACGACTTCGCCCCAGTGGCCAGTGCCCTCTAAAAACATAGAGCCGGTCCTGAGATCCGCCGCCGCTCGAGCAGCTCCGGCGCTGCTCGAGGTAATCTGCCGTCGGGACTCCGGCGCAGGCCATCGCCACGCGCGTGCAGGCGAGAGCAGGCCGATGGAGACGGCGGCGAAAGGGGAGGTTAAGGCGACGGCAAGTCTGCGACGATGACCTGGATGCGGCGGCGGTTGGCAGGGAGGCTGAGGCGACGTACGGCAGACGGCGACGATGACCTGGATGCGGCGGCGAGGGTCAATGTCTCCTTCCTTTCCCCGCACCTCCTCTCGGCGGCGCCCCGCATGAAGCAATTAGAGGCAAAGCTGCCTCACCTCACCCCCTCACCCCTAGAAACACAAGTTCCCTCCAAATTTATGTCTACATGCAAGCGCTCTTTGATCTATGGGATCTATACGTGATAAAGTGTAGTTCATGTCAAATCCAAATATAAGTAAGTTATTTTGCCCGGCTGCACTGAAAACGGAGAAGCAAACCTCACTGAAAAACAAGTGCATACCTGATCTGATCTGTTGAAAGTAATTCCAGAAAACTGAAAAACAACTACTCCTAGTAGGTTGCAGATTCCGAATTTTTCTGCCATTTTCTCATAACGTGTTGGACAGTGTCGGCTGCAAGGATGTGCCATCAGGAGCTAAAACTGCAGCACGACGCGCCACCAGTTCAGAAAACATGCCATGTACGTACTACATTTTCCCCATGTATAATCCTCTGTTGTTCATTTTTCTTCAAAAAACATTCATGACTGCTCACACCCTTTTGGGCAATGGGATAAATGAAATTTCACACTCGATACACATAATATGCTTGTATTTCGGATGAACATTCACAAGAGGCATGGCTTATAATATAGAATTATAGAGTACAATATAAAACATTCACATTCCATAGTTCATAACAAGCATTACTGCAACTTTTCACAAGATAAGTTTGTCACCTCGTAATAATTTACTTCATCGAAACAACAACAACAACAACAACAACAAAGCCTTTAGTCCCAAACAAGTTGGGGTAGGCTAGAGGTGAAACCCATAAGATTTCGCAACCAACTCATGGCTCTGGCACATGGATAGCAAGCTTCCACGCACCCCTGTCCATAGCTAGCTCTTTGGTAATACTCCAATCCTTCATCGAAACATAAAGAAAATTTCACTCACCCTCCTCCGAAATGGTAGTCAGCTCAGAGAGGAAATGGTAAGGCTCCACTACAGGGCTGTGCTCATCGTCACAGAAGAATGGCCTTGAAGGCACCGGCACGCTATCAACGCTCCCTTCGAGCATCTCTATGACTTCGCTCATCTCAGGCCGATCGTGGGACTTCATTTGGATGCAACACAGACCAACAAGGCACAACTTCCTCTCCAATTCATGCATCTCAGCAGATATCTCACCCGGTTCATGTTTAGTTAGCCGGTCAAACACCCATGATGGGTAGAATGCCTGGCTTGAGTTTGCCGCGTTCGGGTCAGCGTTCCTGCGTCCTCCAGCCATCTCCAACAGCAACATCCCGAAGCTGTAAACATCAGACTTGCTGGATATGACGCCAAAGCTCCGGGATATCATCTCAGGAGCTATGTACCCGATTGTTCCCCATAGGGCGCTCAACGGCACAAAACTGTTGTCCCTTGGGTATAGCTTGGCAAGGCCAAAATCAGCAATTTTTGGGAAAAAATTGGTGTCAAGAAGGATGTTGTGCGGCTTGATATCAAAGTGTAGAATCTGCATGTCGCATCCTTGATGCAGGTAGTTGATCCCCCTAGCAATGCCCAAGGCAATTTCATTGAGCTTGTCCGAGGAGAAACTCTTCTCGACCGAGAAGATGTACTTATCAAGAGAACCATGGGGCATATACTCGTAGACTAGCGCCCTCCTCATTTCTTCCGAGCAGCCAGACGGACCACATTAACATGGTGGATCCTGCCGATGGTGGAGACCTCACTGATGAAATCTTCTCCATCGCAGCTAGATTTACAATCTAGCATCTTGATGGCCACATGGACATCGCCGGAGAGCAGAATGCCCTTGTACACGGAGCCATAGCCTCCTTGACCCAGCTTGTCTCTGAAATTGCTTGTGACCGCGACAATATCTGTGTAGGCATACCTTATCGGGCCGATCATTTGCTGCATTTGTAGGAACTTCTCGACCGCGTCGATTGTGATCCTTGTTTTCCAATATTTGTGGGCAAGAAGAACAGTACCACCAGGGGAGCAATCACTAACCTGCATACTCCAGCACACATAGAACAACTCTATGTGGGATTGCCAAGAAACTACTTCCTCCGTTCACAAATATAAGATGTTTTGAATATTTCAACATGGACTACATACGGGCTAAAATGGATGAACAAACACACTAAAACATGCCTATATACATCCAATTTGTTTTCACAAAAAAGTGAGAACATCATATATTTGTGAACAGAGGGAGTGCCAGCGTTGCTAGTATATGTAATTCTATCAGCGTACCAACAATGAACTTCAATATTGACGGGGAGAATACTATCACATAGCGTAGCGAGTGAAGGTGTTCAGTGGAATGCAAATTATCTGCTCCAAATGCACAATACAGGATTTGAGAATCAACCGTAAGAATGACCATAAGCCAATGTATGAGAAGATGAGCCACCGATTCTCCAGGGTTTGGGATGCATACTGTCGGATTACGGGTTCCACAAACCCTTGAGAGGTTCGAACACTGGGGTGCGTGTGGAGATCTCAACCTATCCAGCCTGCCTACTCGCGATCCTCTTAAGCCTAGCGCGCCGAGCTCAAAGGGATAAGGGAACACAACGGTTTATACTGGTTCGGGCCACCGTTGTGGTGTAATACCCTACTCCAGTGTGGTGTGGTGGATTGCCTTGTAGGCTGAGGATGAACTAGTACAATGGGTGAACTGGCCTCCGGAGGAGAGGTGTTCTTGAGCTCCAAGAGCTGGTGAGGTGAATCTGGTCGGAATCAGATCCCTCTCCTATGGTGGTGGCTAAGTCCTATTTATAGTGGCCTTGGTCCTCTTCCCAAATGTTGGCGGGAAGGGATCCCACAATGGCCGGTTTTGAAAGGGGACAAGTAGTACAACTTATCCTGACAAAAGTAGTCTTCGCCTGCGAAAAGCCTCTGGTCGTGACACCGCGGTGGGCTCGGTGATGACCTCCGTCTTGCCGTCCTAGCGGTCCTGATTTTGTTGCACCAGAATGGAAACCTTTGGCTGATTCCTCGGGACTCTGCGCCTGTGGATTGCCTCCTTTGCACCGAAGAGGAAACCTGCGTTCTGCGCCCTCCTGGCACCCGTCTGGCCTTGGTCGTCATGGCTCACGTCAGCTGAGACTCGTGAGGTAAACCTTGCATAGAACTCTCCGCCCCTCGGGAGCCAGCCTGAGGAGGCCGATCCCCTCGGGGGTCTTGGCGTCGTTCGCCTCGCGATGCTTGGCCCCTCGCGAGGGTCTTGAGCCGTTGATGTCGAAGCGCCGTACCAGGCCGTCGATGGAGCCACGCGGTGGGCCGCAGGCAGGCAGGGATGGATACCCCCATATCCAGAACACCGACAGTAGCCCCCGGGCCCAAGGCGCGCTCGGACTTGGCTTCCAGGCGAAGCCAAAGGGCAAGCGCGGAGCGCCACGGGCCCTAACCGCCTGCGGCCTTGATGACACATGGTGATTGATGGGACGTGGGCGACTCCACTTCCCCACGCTGCCTCGACAACTGTTCGACTTGATGGGACCGGCATGCAGGAGATCATGATGGAGCGAGGTCGTGGAGGCCGACGGTTGGCCTCCCTTGTCTATAAATGTGTGAGAGGGGCAGAACCCCCTGCCCATTCTTCTTCGTCTTGGGCCCGCCCGCTTCTTCTCCTTCATCTTGCTCCCACGGCGCCGATCAGGAGGTACTCTGCGGCCGAGAAGGGGAAGGCCCCTAGAGAAGGGCCCGATCCTCTCCCACCAAAGAAGCGGCTCTGCCTTCCTCATGACGCCGACGCGGGGCGGGAGGTGACCAGGCCTTGGCAATCAAGGCCCCCGCCTGGCTTTCCCCTCCCCATGTACGCCCAAGCTCAGGATGAAGATGCTCGCCGTCGAGCGGTTCTTTACGGTGGTGGCAGGACCGCCATTGCCCTTCCGACCACGCCACGGACCCACACCGAGGGCAGCTCGCGCGAGTTCGTGGTGTGGGCGGTGATGCCTCCCGATACCTGGATCCGGTTCCCGAGGTTCTTCGCTGGCGCTCGAGCTGTGGCTGTAGCACGCTAGGTGTCGCAGTTCAACCACCGGAGCTGAAGTCGAGGTGGTGCCCCCTAGAGACGTCTTCATGACGCGTGGATGGATTGAGGTCGCCCCGGTTTGCCGCGTGGCGATTCACTTCGAGTATGACGGCGTGGCCACTCTGTTCTTCAAGGTCTTCAATGAGGAGGGCAAGCGGCTGGAATGCTGCCCCCGAGGAGGTAGCCCGTGGGGCCCTGCATTGGGCGCTGGGCCTGCTGCCGCCCCTTGGCGCCTCGCCCAGCAGTAGCGGTGACTCCTGGGAATCCAGCGACTCTCCTGAGCCTAGTGAGTCTCCGGAGTCGAGCGATGATAGTTACGTGCCGCCAAGCTCCCGCCGAAGCCGGAGTGTGGCAGCGACTGCCGCCCGACGTCGCCAGTGATGCCCTCGGGCTTAGTAGCTAGCTTCCTTCTTTTGCTTTCCCTACGCGGAATGAAGATCAACCCCCGAGGGGTTTGTAAGGATCGGTGTGTGTTTAATATCAGCGTCGCTTCCTTTGATCTTGTGATGGATTCGCGTATCCCAGTTCGGCACGGTTCCTCCCTTTTCTTTCTCCTAGGCAGTATGACACTCTACGCCGGCAGGACCCAGTCCCCAGGAAGGCTTCAGCCGTTGCTAGTATGCCAGGCCGCGATGCCGTGGTCAAGGCTAGGAGGTGAGCGGCCCGAGGTCTGGTAAGAGCTCATGAGACGCGATGCTCACGAGGTCCCCCTTGGCATGCAAGCAGCCACCCAGAAAATCAAAAAGGGGAGCAAAACCGGCGAAATGGAACTGCGAGGCGGGGTGTGCAGGGAGCGAAGCTGGTGCCGCAGCGAATAGTAACTTATCTTTGGGTGTCTTGGCCCGTCAGGAAGATGGTGCTTGCTCCTGCGCTTGTGGTTGTGCCGTGGCTCGCGACGACCGCCTTCCTGCCTCGTTTGCCCAGGTGCTCTACATCCTCGGGACCCGGCCCTCGAGCGAGCTCAGCCGCCATTGGTATGCCAGCTCGCGATGCCGTGGTCGAGGCCAGGGGGTGAGGGTTGGAGAGCTAGTAGGGACTCCTGAGATGGGATGCTCAGGAGGCCCCTTTTAACGCGCAAGCGACTCACGAGGCACGATGACGGTCGCCCAAGCCGACTCGTGAACCACCGTCAGATGAACCTGCATGTTAGGTGACTGATGACCCACAAGTGTTGGGGATCGCAACAGCTTTCGAGGGTAAAGTACAACCCAAATTTATTGATTCGATAAAAGGGGAGCCAAAGAATATTCTTGAGTATTAGCAGTTGAGTTGTCAATTCAACCACACCTTGATAACTTAGTATCTGCAGCAAAGTATTTAGTAGCAAAGTAGTATGATAGTAATGGTAACAGTGGTAAAAGGTAAAGATAGTAGTAGCAATATTTTTGGTGTTTTGTAGTAGTTGTAACAGTAGCAACGGAAAAGTAAATAAGCGAAGAACGATATGTGAAAAGCTCGGAGGCAATGGATCAGTGATGGATAATTATGCCGGATGCGATTCCTCATGTAATAGCTATAACATAGAGTGACACAGAACTAGCTCCAGTTCATCAATGCAATGTAGGCATGTATTCAGCAAATAGTCATACGTGCTTATGGAAAAGAACTTGCATGACATCTTTTGTCCTACCCTCCCGTGGCAGCGGGGTCCTAGCGGAAACTAAGGGATATTAAGGCCTCCTTTTAATAGAGAACCCGAACAAAGCATTAACACATAGTGAATACATGAACTCCTCAAACTACGGTCATCACCGAGAAGTATCTCGATTATTGTCACTTCGGGGTTGTTGGATCATAACACATAATAGGTGACTATAGACTTGCAAGATAGGATCAAGAACACACATATATTGATGAAAACATAATAGGTTCAGATCTGAAATCATGGCACTCGGGCCCTAGTGACAAGCATTAAGCATAGCAAAGTCATAGCAACATCAATCTCACAACATAGTGGATACTAGGGATCAAACCCTAACAAAACTAACTTGATTACATGGTAAATCTCATCCAACCCATCACCGTCCAGCAAGCCTACGATGGAATTACTCATGCACGGCGGTGAGCATCATGAAATTGGTGATGGAGGATGGTTGATGATGACGACGGCGATGAAACTTTTTTCTCTGATTTTTTTCTCTGCGCGACGGAATATATGGAGTTGGAGTTGAGGTCGGCGGAGCCTCAGGGGGCCCACGAGATAGGGGGGCGCGCCCTATAGGGGGCGCCCCCACCCTCATGGACAGGGTGTGGGCCCCCTGATCTTCATCTTTTGCGAGGATTTTATATATTTTCTGAAACTTGTCTGCGAGGATTTCCAGGTCATTCCGAGAACTTTTGTTTTCTACATAGGAAAGAACATCATGGTAATTCTACTGAAAACAACGTCAGTCCGGTTAGTTTCATTCAAATCATGCAAGTTAGAGTCCAAAACAAGAGCAAAAGTGTTTGGAAAAGTAGATACGTTGGAG